TTAACGTCTCCGCTTAATTCATTGTTATTACGAAGATTTGATGTATTTTCAAGTACTTGTCCAATTGTAGAAATTCTACGGAGCAGACTAGCGGCATCGTTTTTTTCGCCGTTCTGGCAACTACTTTGCATAATCAATGTTGGAAGGTTTTCGTAATCGAACGAACAAGTTCACGGAATGAGTTTGGCACTGGTAGGATGATTCGAACACGCGAAAAGTTTGCCATGTCGTGTCTTGCGAATACATAATATACATATATGCATAGAGTAGATCAATCTCCGAATTTCTTGTCTCAGTCTAGTGTTTCTTTCCCCCTTTTTTTTTCTTTCCTACCTCTTTTCGATGATGATACAGGCGATACATCACCCTTCTAATTTAATTTATTCTGCTCTTTTCCTTGGGAAATCCGATTTGGTTGTGACGCTAGATAAATTCGACCGAAAAGAAGAGAATCCGTTTGTTCCGACTGGCCCGATTGTTAGAAAGTAAAGGGAACGAAACGTCCATGGTAACAACGTATCGGTGTACATTTGTACAACGTATGGATGTACATTTGTATACATCAAGAGAAAGTAGAAGAGAATCTCCTGCCAAGCATTTTCTGTCCGATATTTGTTTTCTAATAACAAGATCAGATAGTCGCGTCAGATAGAATTTCTGTTTTTAAAAAGATGAAGTGGCTTTTGCCAAGATATCAGAAAAGATTAAAAAATGGATTCATCTCGAAAGATTAGCTTAAAGTTCTGGGCAGAAGATGCCCACTACGCAGTGTCTGTCTTGAGATAAACGTGATGGGCTCGAATTTTTTTGCTCGATCTTTCGAGAAGTTGGAAATTATTAGAAAGATCAGAGGAGAAACACGATTGAGATGTGAAAAAGCGGCAGTCCTTAAGTAGAAATGAGAGGCGCGATTATTAGAAAAGCGATATTAACGAAGATTCTGCGGATAGAGTAGGAACACACCTACCAGCGGTAGAAGCTTTGCTCGTTGAATAATACTTGCAAAGCTTCCTATCGTTTGCGCAACGTTCCTCTTTTGTATTATAACGATGGCTGATAGAAAGATTTTTGCGGCTAAAGTCCGCGATCTTTGCGCGAGTTGGAATCGTGGTTGGTGAAATGATTTGCGTGCCGCGCTGCTTCAAATGCGGCCGTTTCCCAGCGTCTAGGGAACCCACAGGTATAACGAGTCTTTTTCGTTGATAATGAGAAGACGGTTCACCGATTCCTCTGAGAAGGGAACAAGCACCGAAGAAAGGGTAGGGTCTTTTTCTAACGAAACGTTCCTCTCGGTTTCTTCGCAGAACGATTCGAACGATGGCCATTGGGTAGATGCATCTTGGCTCCGCGCCGTTTCTCTGTCTTTTCTTTCATCGAGAAATTATTGTTTTGAGATGCTGCCGAAATTTTTTGGCCACCGATGTTATAACGTTCGTCTAGACGCGC